ACCCCTAAACCCCTAAACCCCATGAGTCCCTAAAGCCAAGAACAACACGGCCTTGGTCACTCGCGCTGAAGACTTGGCCTTTGCTTTGGCTGCAGCTTCTGCCTTCGGTTCCAGGTATTTAGGGTTCAGGGTTTAGGTTTCAGTTGAGGAATCGACCATAAGTCTTATTGAACCAGGCACAGCGTTTTCAGGGTTAAAGGGCGCGTAAGAGTATGGGGTATGGTGTGCTGATTATGGCTACGAGTATTGCGACAACTGCTGTCAAGCTTTCGATTCCAAGGTTATGTTTGTTGCCCTTCAGGTTGTCATTGGGTAGTCTGTCAACATACATTGGAGTTGCAATCATTGCGCAGTCTGCTACTTCTGCATCCTCACTGTCCGTACGACTACTTTAAAGTATTGCTGGTAACAAACAGTCCACCACTGTGACGACGAATGTTTTGATTTCCAACCTTGCTCCCTCGACTCTCACTAGCACTGTGGTCTTTATTGCTATGTTCTTTCTGGCTGGAGTCACCACCTCCATCTTCCTTGTTGTAAAACAATCGCCAATTGAATTTATGAGCAGTTTTGCCACTTCTCCCTGGAATATTCACGAAAAACAGCAGTTCATGATTACGACGAGACAACAGCCGTTATTTACCGTTCTGATTATTTACCATGTTGAGGTTCTTACGACGTCAACCAAATATTTGAATAGAACCATGCCTGCCTTCGGCACAACGACGTCATGGAAAGAAATGCCGCAAGCGTTCAACACATGACGAATACTTAGGTAATTAGTCATAAGTAGTCATGACCGCAAGATTTGCCAGAACACCAATACGGCGATAATTTGTCTGACTACCGAATTCCACGACTGGTAACAGTAATATTGTCGACGGCATCACCACCGTCATCATCATATCTAAAGTTCGTGCAATCTTCATCCTCCGTACCGAGGTCAGGCTTGTTTCAGGATGATGGTTAAGCAAACAGAGACAAATGACGGTGGTTAGCAAGGCTGTGACGGCCAATTGTTGAGCGGCTTCTTCCCGCTCGACGTTTATGTAGCCAATATGCGAATACTGTGGGGCCTACGAATACGTATTCAACCAACGACCGAACCCTTGAAAACACCTGGTCAGTTTAATAACATACCATTTTATCCATGCATGTTGTTCGGTGTCAAAACATTTCATATCTAATTTGTTGGTCAGTTTGTCGTCCGAACAACTAACTGGTTTCTTCGATGCACTGCCACAGACTGAATAGCTATTCTGTCATGCAAATATTCGATCATGTAACCACGCAATATCTCGTGTCATTGAACTATCCAGCTGTTGGTTCTTTAACAGTGCATGCATCTGCATACTTTGTTATGTCACCCATGCGGCCATTTATCCGATGTGGCCACTGACTGCTTCAGTTTGCTGCATCAACCGTGTACATATTATATGATCATTTTCAAATTGGTGTTTACATCGTTACAAATGCAATTATGCAAAATTGTTGGTATGTAGTCAGCTATCATGAATGTGCAATGTTTTAATTCATTTTACACAAACCAGATGCCACCAGCCTTTGGGCCATACCGTCTTGATCAGTCGTTGCGAACAATCAAGCACCAGCAACTCGTCAATGAAACAAAGCTGAACATGAATGTGAGATGCTAACTGTTGCCCAAGCATTGTGAAGTTGTTGTTATCGATTGTCTTCGCAACTGCTAGGAGGAACTGGCAAAATCCAACACATAAATGACACGGAATGTAGTGTAAGTGGGGCGTTCCACTTCTCGAGGAGCGAAGATCTATGCAATGATGTGCATTGAACCAGGGAACAGTGCGGATAACACGCGACCTTTTGAAGCTACCTGCTATGCCACAACCGAGGCATGTGAAGCGAATTCTTGCTAATACAACCGAAACAATGCGGAGAATGGGCGTTGCCGCCCATGCCGTTGTTCCGGTCGTCCGTTTTCGGCCGCGCAAGCTGCTCCTTGCACCATGTACAATAAAAAAAAGGTGGCGTGAGGCTGGCATTTTGGATGGTCCTCTCAGAAGCTGTGTAGTTTTGTCCGGGTAGGGGCTTCTCGTAACTTTGTCAGACAAGTGCAAGGAAGCAAAGAACGATTGTAAACAAGGAGTCCGATTTTAACTAATTACTAGAATAATGACCGGCGGCGACGACGAATGTTGCGAAACAGGATTTGGGTGAATCGACGAATACATGACTTGCACTGCGTGTGTGCCAGTGGCGAACCAACACAACATCGACAAAGCAACAACATTCAATGACATTCATGGGCGGTAACACATCAAACTGCCCACTGGAACACGGCCACACCCTCCACGCCAATTGCCCCTGCACTTGCTGGCAGAACTAACGACATGAACAGTACCGTCTGCACTACATTACATCAACAAACAATTCAGGACGACAAATCAACAGCGGACGCATGATGTAAGCACACAGCAGACGACAGTGGATGTTCCCGCCCCGTCTGCAATTGCAAACTATCACAGTCCTATTCTTGCAAAAACAACGGTACGAGCCGCTCATTTTGAAGCGAGATCTGCGTGATGCGAAAGTCTATTTGGTGGAAATGTCTCCAAGCTCAGTCGGCCAAAACGGGACAGCATCAGGCCAGACACGTCAAGGACAATCATGCAAACAAGAAAGCCACACAAAACAGCCGGCACCCTCTTCGACTCCAAAAGCACGAGATCGGTTGCGGAAGGGCCGTAAACAGTCGAGGAGAGCATAGATACCGCAGCCATGATGTCCATTTCGACGTTCTCTGTTTGAAGACCGACCAGCACAAACAAACACAACAATAGACTACGAAGACATGTCAGACGCCATGCTGTGCCACGATACATTGTGCCAAGTTGTGAAACCGACAAAACACGCCAAACACATGATTGAAAACACACTGAGCCATCCGTAAGCTCACAGGAGCATCGGAAACACATGTAAGCCGAACACTTCTTGACTCATGTTCAGCACCTGTTGCCATCCGTCAGTGGATCATGAGTCCCTCTTCCCATGTAGACCGCCATCCGGCAACATGTGTGGTGTGACTGGACTCTGACAGCTCGTAGCCAACTCAGCGGCCAGCTTAACAAACTTCTTGCCAGTCGCTAGATGAGTGAACCCAACCTGTGGAAATGGATCGGACTGTGAGAGTTTACTTGCTGCCAGCACTGCCCACGGTTTCCGGCCCCATCTGCCTGCATGACCCCAGCAAAGCTCAACCTGCAGGACGGCGAGTCAGAAGTGTTCTTCTCCACGAAAATACAACTGCTGCCACATGTACTTAGGCAGCCGGGCATTCCAACATACATCAAGGGTCCCGCGCGCGCACCATGATGATTTTGCCTGAAGCTGCGAGCTCCCGGACAAAGGAACAACCAGCATGGCAAAGTTGCTCACCTTGTGTTCATGCGTCCCAGTCTTCCGAGCCGAGCTCTCACCATCGCGATCCAGCCACGCTTCTTGGATGCTCCTCAAATCGTATCAGCCACAGAGATTAAAGAACGTGAACAGCAAGCCGCTGGAGCTTGGATTGAGTTGGGATGGGATGGAAACCACGTTGCGGGACACTTTGAGAATGAATGAGCGCGCCAGAGACAGCTCTTTACAAGCACACAGCCGCTCCACTCCTTTAGCATACAACCCTAAGGAGGGTGTTTTTGCACAAGACGACACTCAGACCTGCCGGCCCGACTTTTAAGCAACCATTACGGTTACACTGCTGATGATGCTGTCTCGGGGCAGTTACCGTCACGATGGTATAATGAGAAGGTGCGGGACCTCCTGGTGTTCTTCTATGAAAGTGTAATGGTACGTCGCCTACAGGGTTGCACGTAATGTCGCAAAGAGCGAATGCATAGGATTGCACTGCGCTACATGGGCAAACAAACCACCTCTCACAGACAAATAATCCCTCGGAGGCGGCGACGTGTTGCGCGCATCGTCCTTGATCAGGATCTTGAACCGTGCAACATGACACTTCTCCGTTTGTGCACGTCAGCACACATGCTCGAAGCAACTTGGTGTGCTCTCGGATTTATGCAGCCGGGACGAACTTTACCGTAGACGGGCTGGACCCATGGGTCAAAGAAGTCATGACCAACATGCTCCCAAACATGACGAAGCTCGTTGAACAGGGTAATGTTGTTGATGGTCAGGTGCTGACGGAGACGACTCTCCAGCAAATGACAAGGGAACGCATGGTTGCGCCACCGCAGTCCTTGGAGAAGTGCATGGCCAACAAGACAACATTACTTCGCGGTTTGCATCTTTTTCACCTCGACGAAGACATGGGAATCCAACTTCGGGCATAAAGTGCAACTGCGAGCAACATCGTCAGACTGCATTTAAAGTTGCTAATTGCTCAGCAAAAAAGATTCCGAGCGTCAAAGTGCTGCAACACATGGTCTACGACCTCACTTGTGTGGAAACAGTGATTTCGAAGCACATGGCTCACTGCCAGCTGGTCGTTGCAAGATGTCATCTGGGTGTTTAAGCATGTCTTCGCTCTGGCCACGGCCAAGGCTCCTTAGAGCTTGCTTACTATGTGCACGATGTCATCGGGCTCGGAGGCATCCTTCCAGTCATCTTTCACGGACCAGCATGTACAGCCAGGGCTATCTGAATCATTGACGTTGTTTGTAACGTTCTGGACATGGAGACGGCCGCTGCACTGAACACAAGCCTGTTTGCGATTACAAGGATCTTCTCATTCACCGTAAGGCCGGCTTCGCGTGGTCGGGGCTTGCATGAGCGCGGCCTCCATCTGGCGATTTAATTTGCAAAGATCGCTATGCTCGCCAATCGCATTTCACTTGAGGAGACCATTTGGCGGAAGATAAGACAGGTGAAGCATGATTTTCCGTCCTCGCCGACGACAGAATAATCGGAAAGACGTCTGTGGGATGAGGAAGGTGGTGTCAATGGCGACAACGGTTGGCTGCATGACCTCAGACACGTCGCTTTCCAAGCTCCTTGGGCGACGCAAGACAAGGCGGGGCGATGACGCCATGCACGAAACGGAATATCTCAACGAAACTGCTCACTACGCTAGCGAGTGTCTGGAGAAGAAAGCAGATGGGTTGCTGTCGGAGCAGCTTCTGCAAGGCCAGGATCATTTTCCAACTGTCCATTCTCGGAAGCAGCATACGGCGATCCTCAGGATCCATGAACTCGGCGGGGACAGACAATAAAGTTTCAGATGCACACAGACCAAAACACAATGAATCAAAAGCATACATGAACTGCTGCAGCACATTCAACACATGATAAACAAGCCGGAGTCGGCGTTGTCTATTGGGCAATGTCCAAATCTTTCCGCACGGAAACATCGTGAAGATTTTTCTCAAGCGAACACTTAGTTAAAAAATTCCTCAGCTTTTCGTACCGGCAATAAGAAACTCTTCTTGTCTACTTGTAAAGAGGAAAAAGACTGTTATTCGATAGGCTGTTGCTCGTGCAGTTGAACTCATGACAGCATATAGCAGAGCTCTTTCTCGTCAAGATGTTTTGTAGCTGTTGCTGCTAATGTGTAGTAACTCTTGTCGCAGCGTGTTTGCCTCCATAGCAGTCGAACTTCACTCTTGAGAATGATTAAGCTCACATGCTTGGAAAATCGTATTCGACGCGGCGTACTCTTGTCTAGCCTAGTTCGGACTTACTTTGCAAATCTATTCTACACACAACAAACCTGTGACATCATCAGTCCTCCTGCATTCCCCGTCCTCTTTGCTGTGCCTGTTCCTCACAAACAATCCTTACCAACTTGACTAGCTGCAACATTCGATTCTGATTATCGTCGTTGCGATACATGACCCCGAAGAGAAGCACTTCACCTCGGAGCTCGCTACAGATTCCAATATACCCAGGACTTTGAACCCCCCAAAGCAGGAGATCTAAACGTCCCGCGGCCAACAGACCCTCAACTCTCAACCAAGAGATTCCAGAGCCAAGACCAGGAAAAAACACCCAGAAGCCCACACCCTAAAACCTGATACCTTAAACAATGGGACCCTAAACCTGAACCCTAAACCCTGATACCTTAAACCATGGGAACCTAACCCAAAGCCCGACCGTCCTTAGCTTTCGGCTCAGCTTTGGCGCGCTTCCTCAGGTCGGCTCGGAGTTGGGGGGAATTTAGGACAGTTTAGGGTTTAGGGCTTAGGGTTTAGGGTTAGGGTTTAGGGTTTAGGGTGTAGGGTGTAGGGTGCAGGATGAAGAGTTTAGGGAACTCTGGAGAATTTCTAGCTAGGCTCTTGAGGAATTCGAAAACCCAGCTCTCGCGAAAGTTGCCCCCAATACCTGAAATGCTACGAGGACAAAGTCAGCCGTAAATACCTGCAACCCCGGCTACAACGACTCCTGCTCCTCCTTACTACTCTAGCGCTGCTGCGCGGCTGCTGTTGCTGCGGCTGCTGCTGCTGCTACTACTGCTGCTGCTGCCTGTGCTACCACTAGTACTAGTACTAATACTAGTGCTAAGCACTACTAGTTCTACTCCTCCTCCTCTTCCTCCTACTCCTACTTCTACTCCTGCTCCTGCTCCTGCAGCTACTCCTACTCGTGCTCCTCGTACTCCTACTCCTACTCCTACTTCTACTGCTGCCCCTGCTCCTGCACTTGCTCCTACTCGTACTCCTCGTACTCCTACTCCTACTCCTCCTACTAGCACGATTACTACAACTGCATCTACTACTACTACTACTACTACTACTACTACTACTAGTACTACTATTACTACTGCTACTACTACTACTACTACTACTACTACTCCTCCTACTCCTACTCCTACTCCTACTCCTAGTCCTACTCCTACTCCGACTCCTACTCCTACTCCTACTCCTACTACTACTACTACTACTACTACTACTACTACTGCTCCTTCTTCTATTACTACTACCATTACTACTATTACTACTACTACTCCTTCTCCTTCTC